CCGCACCTGGGTGATCTGATCATCCGTAAACGCACACTGGCTTCCTCTTGCTATCTATGTTGAGAGGTGTTGCTGACTAATCGGGCTACAGACAATACCTTTGCTCCCTTTTACTTTTCTGTAATTTCCAGTTTCTACCATGCGCATGTTGTTTTAACAGTGGAAGAAATTAAGTTCTTTTAAAGTTAAAATAAAAAATAAGAAAAAAGCAAGTCACATAAGAATACCTACACTATAATTCTACTTATGTTAAAGTCGCAAAGGTAAAGAAATATTGGTTAGGATATATACTTGTTTGGTAAAACTATAAAGAAAAGCAAGGGAACGGTTTACTAAACATTCAGGAGACTGGTTACTTCTGAGGGAGTGAGGAGAAGGAGGGGATTCAATCAAGCAGGGAACAGCATGAGGCTTCAAAGGTACTAGAATCTCCCTTTTGTTCAGCTGGTAGTCAAAACAGACCTTCAATTTATCATTCTTTAGGTTGAAGATGTATGTCATATGAACTTTTATACATATGGCTTGCTTCACCATTTAAAAAGAAGATACAAATAAACAGAGGTGAGGAATCAGAATTTGGGGACTGTAACCCAGACTCCTCCACTTACTGACTATAACAAGCAAGTCACTTAAGCAAGTCATTTAACCTCTGAGAGGAGTTTTTTCTTCTTATTTTATAGATGAGGCAGCTAACAAGTAACATAAGTTTAATACTTTTCTGTTTAAAGTTCCTAGACTACAGTAGGACATGCAAAAAGCCCTGGCGGGTATGGTTCAGTGGATCGGGTACCAGCCTGCAGACCAAAGGGTTAACTCCTGATCAGGGCTGGGTTGCACCCAGATCCCCAGTTGGGGGTGTGTGGGAGGCAACTGATCAATGTTTCTCTCCCTCTCTTTCTCCCTTCTTTCCCCTCTCTCTAAAAATAAGTAAATAAAATTGGTTTTTTTTAAGATATGCAAATAAAATGATGTAAAGTAACACATTCTTGATAAATAGAACATTGTAACACTGTACTAAGAACTCAATGGTAAGACAAGCAAGACTATTCACATTCTAGTCCCCTCCCATCTAATAATGGCAACAATTACTATTTTTTAACGGGTACTATGTAACACACTGCATTAAGTGCTTTCCATTGATTATCCAGTTTAGTACTCAAAGCAACTCTATAGGATTAGGCCTCTTAACCCCACTTTACAGATAAGACCACTGTGCCCAAGATCACACAACTAGTAGTAAATGGCAGACGGACCTCAGAACCCACATTCCTTGAGTTAGTTCTGCCTCACTTCTCTCACTATATTTAAATGTCTGTCTCTCCCACTACATGAAAGCTGTTCATTTTCATTTCTCTTGGCACTTAGCAGGCAATAAGTAAATAAATAAATATTGAGCAAATATCTCATATACGCACAGTGTTTTCAGGACATGAACTGATTTGTTCCCCTTGACAGCTTTATGAATTATGAAAGTGTTTTTTAAACATTTTAACCATATTTAAGTGTACAATTCAGTGGAAATAAGTAATGTTATATAATCATTACCACTTAGTCATGAAAGGTTTATAATGCCTCTACTGATATCACTCAACTATCAAATTCTGGAATGGGGATTTGAACCTAGGACTCTCAGCCCCTAAATTCACAGGCTATTCATTCTACCAAGGTGCCTATCTACTAATACCTCCATCTGCTCTCCCCTCTCACCAGAATATTGGGAGAATCAAATGAGATAAAGATATTAAAGCACTTTACATACATTCCTACAGCACAAATGACCACAGTTGTGAGGCAGGTAAAAACATCCACCACAATATTTCTCCCAGGCTATTACTTTTCATTTTGAGTTTTCAAAAGCTAGAAAAACATAAATATCCCACCTGTAGATCAAGCCTGCAGATCTACAAAAGCAATGTCTGGACCCCAAAGTAAAGTTATAAGCAGAAATGCTTGCATTAAGTAGATTACACTCTCATCAAATGACAGGTAACTTATTCAAAGCTGATTTTTATTGTAATAAAGCTTCTTCATCAAAGCACTTTCGCCCTGGCTGGTGTAGCTCAGTGGACTGAACACAAGCCTGCAAACCAAAGGATCACGGTTCGATTCCCAGTCAGGGCACACGTCTGGGTTGCAGGCCAGTTCCCAGCAGGGGATGCACAAGAGGCAATCATACACTGATATTTCTTTCCCTCTCTCCTTCCCTTCCCCTCTAAAGATAAATAAATAAAATCTTTTTAAAAATAGGTCACCATTCTATTTCTTATTTTTTTTTAAAAAAGGCACTTTCATTCTAAGAACAAGTCCAGCTGTCCATCATTCTGCCCATTTTGGAACTACCAAAAAAAAAGCTTTCTAAATATTGGGTATTTTTATGTGCTCAATTGTGAAAACCAAGGAAAATGACTTGTTTGCAAGCTGAACCCTGAAACTTAAACAAAACAACAACAACAAAAAGATTTTGATCCCATTGGTGCCAATTTTATGCTCTTTACATCCCTCCCATTTTTTTTCAGTTTGAATTCTAAAATCAACAGCCACTTTTTAAACATATCATAGTTAATGCAATTCAGTCCAGAAACCTGTTTCCCAAAGGTGTTTCTTCCATGCACACCCCTGTCTACCTCCTAGCATCACCATTCTGCCATGAAAATAAGCATATTATTAAGCTCTAAATAAAATTGGAGATATTGTTTCTGTAGTTCATGTAATGTGTGTACAGAATGCCATCCCCTAAAAAATAAAACAAAATGATCCTATGTGCCTTATTTATCCACATCTGAAGGAATTCAGGTGGAATTCTTTCTATCAGAAGAAAATTCAATCTATAGAAATAGAGTCCGATTATTAAAATCTTATCAAGTAATGTCAGAAGAGAATCAAATGAAAAACTCCATCAATACCGAACTATCTCACCGATGAATATTAATGGCTTTTCCATATTTCCTGTCCTCTCTGTTTACATAAAGCACTGATGCCAAGCTCCATCTCAGGATTATTAGCCTGCAATACAATGATGGGCCTAATTGCCTTGCAAACCAGGACACCAATAAATGGAGTCTTCAACCTATCAATTTTAAGGCAAAAAAAAAGGTCTAAGCTCTTTTTGCATACATGCATGCTCCCTGAATAGGAAATAAATTCAGCCTCATATTTTTCGGTTTCATTCATCAGTTCTCAAGCAAGGAATGCTAACTCAAGCCCATCAAATATATTTAATTCAAATTCCAGGACTAATTTTTAAATGCACCAGGGGGAGGGCAGAGAGAAGAAGGCAGAGACATTATATAGAAAGATATCTGTCACATTCCAGTTTTATCTTCTTCACCTTTAGTTTGGGGCTGGTTTTTTTTCTCCCAACTTTCTTGTTATATGAACACAGACATACCTCATTTTACTGCACTCTGCTTAATTACACTTCGCAGATGTTGCAGTTTTTACAAATTTAAGGCAAAACCTTCCAGCAGCAGTACGATCACAACTCACCTGATTCTAATACTCGCTTTATTACAGTGGTCTAGACCCAAACCCTCATAATCTCCAAGGTGTGCCTCTAACAGAAGACATTCTCCCCTCCTTAATTCTATACTTCTCAACTTTACCCTTTGGATTGATTTACTTCTAAATATGATACTAACATAAGTGGAAAACAAAACAAAAAGGTTAAACTAATTGCTTAAGACGTCCGCTAGGAAAGAGAATCTTTAATGTGCCTTCTCTCTCCCCTACAAAGTCCCTCTGATCATTGTCTCTCCCCAAACCACAGCCTCCAAAGCTGTCCATTTAAGTCCAACCCCTTACCCTCTTCTGTGTCTTGGAGGCCATCTGAATCCTTCCTTTTCATCCAATCCCGCTTCTCCCAGCAGGGCTCACCCTCCCCATCCTCTGCCTCATCCACACCAACTCCATGTCTTCCCCACCTTTAATAACCCCTCTGTCACCTCACCATCAGCAATCACCTCTCCTGTCCTACCAGTTCATCTCAGACATTCTTTCTCCAAAACTCCCTCTGCCAACCCTGACCAAGGGACATTTTCTTCAAGACACCATCCCCCAACCTTGCTCACCACCTGCCACTATTCTTTCAGTGCGAGTCCAGCCCAACAACGTCTTCTGTGCCCTCTGCCTTGACCCTGCACCCAGGGAGCCACCAAATGCCCCTTCCAATAGTTTCAAAATCGCCCTAAATACCATCCCACTGTGTCCTCCCCATTTCAATATTTGTCTGCCTATTGGGGACTGATGTCTAATTCAACCCGTCCTGCCAGCTCACCATCACACTCCCCTCACTGAAAGTCCCAACCCCACCAGCTCCTATTCCAACCTCCATAAACACTCCCCAGGAAAACCCTAAATTCTACCCCCTCTGCTCTCCTAACCCACGCTGTTCCATAAGTCTCCACAAATGCCACCACCCCTAGATGACAAACGCCCACTTCAAGCTCAGGTCTCAACCCATGCCAAGCCCCTCACCCGCACCTCCTACCACCTCTACGAGCCTGCCTGCCCTAGGTGCACGCCGAATTCCACGCTCCTGAATTAACACCCCCAAGGGTCCTATCCAACCCTGCGATCCCACTCTCCATTGAAATTACCCCCTACCTTGCACCCCAGCTCGGATCCCAAGTGTCAACTGGTCCAAGCCAACCTCAAATCCACCACCCTCGTTCAGTCCCCTCCCCCATTAAAAGCCATCCCACTCCAGTCGAATCATCCAGCTCGCCCCAAAACCATCCCGAATTCCACCCCAACCCCCCCACCCAACGCTCCGGTCCCAGGTCCGGTCATTCCCTACTAAAAGTCCCCTTCCCCCGTCGCCCCCCTTACCCCCAACCTGCCCGGGTCCCACCCTCACCCCACCCCCAGCCCGCGCCTGGACGAGTCTCCCCTGCCAGCCCGCCGTTCCATCGCGACCTCACCCCCCTTCCCCCAACCCGCGCCCCGCAGTCTCCACTCTCATTCCCCCCAGTACCGCCGGCCCTGGCTCAGGACAAACGGACCGGGGGGGTGGGGGCTCTCCTCACCGGCGAGCCGCTGCAGGAGAAAACGGCGGCGGCGGCTGAGACGGTGATGCCCTTGTCTTCTCTGGAGGCTACAGAGGCGACGCTCTCGCTCCCTTGCCCGTGTCCAGTAAGGTGGCGGGTGGCGCGCAGGGACCGGGAGCCTCCTCCTTCTCAGCGACTCCGCTCTGAATCCTCTGCAGTAGCCGCCGAGAAGCCCCACGGGTGGGGGAGGGGAAGCTCCGCTGCGGGCTAGGGAGGAGGAGGCGCAGGGAGGGAGCGGGGCACCTCTGAGAAGGGCGGGGAAGGAGGAGCCGGCGCGGCGCCGCGACACGTCCCACGACTTCAGCGTGCCCGGACCACAACTCCCGGCATGCCTTGCGCCGGCCCGCGCGCCGCCTGCGCCGCCAGCGCCGGCCGCCGCGCGCAGGGTGCGGAGAGGCCGCGCCCTCCACGGTCACGGACAATGGGAGAAAGCCAAGCATCCACAAGGCTGCTTTTGTAGACTCAGGGCCCACATGTGAAAATAGTTAGGTCGTCCCACGGCCCCATCCCCACTCAGTATCTTCGACCTCTTCAGGCGCGCGAGCGCGCGCGCGATTACACAGGGCACCACTGCCACCCATTACATACACACGCGCGCGCGCGCGCACACACACCGCGCCGCCGCCGCCACCCACCCCCCCACCCCGACTTCTGCCTCGCTAGACTACATTTTCCAGCATGCGCCAGAGTCTCCCGCCTTCCTTCCGGTCCCTGCTAAATGCGGGGAGGCTCAGTTCAGTCCGCCTCCATGTTAAGAAAAAGAAGTAAAGGAGAGGAACAAGGAAAGGAATGTGCCAACCCACTGAGGACCAGCCTAAGTGGATTGGCTCGCCCAAGAGGGTCTGCTCTCTTCGCCATCCCCGTTGCCACTCTCTCTCAGAACTAAGGCAGTAGCTTTCTCCTGGTCTCCCTGAAAATCCGAGGACAATTTGGCAACTTGAATCCAAATGTAAAAAAGGGCGTAATTCTTGACCTAGCTCCGTTACTTTTTAAAATTCACCTTAAAAAGGTAATAGGAAAATTTGGAAGGATGAATGCACAAGGTTGTTATATGAGGTTGTCATATAGGGGGAAAAACGGAAATGTCCACCAACAGGAGATGATTGATTTATATATACAAACAATGCAGTGTTAAGCAGCCATTTAAAATAATGATACAGATCTATTTATTGATGTGAAAAGCTATTCACATTTATTCTGGCGGGGAAAAATTTGATTACAGAGCAGCATGTTTAGAATGGTCCGACTAATGGGAAATTCGAGATAATACTCTATAATCACAGATTTCTGGAAAGAGGTTCCTCAAAATATCAGTGATTATCTTGGAGGAAAGAGTATCAGATTTCAAGTAATTTTAATTTTCATATTGCCTGAATTGTTTAAAAAGCACATAATTTCTTAAACTATAAAATTATTTTCAAAAACAATTTCTACACCCAACAACCATAAATATGTTTGATGCCTCAAAGCTTTCCATGGCTTCCTAGTGCCCTCAGCGGTGCTCGGGGACTAGGCCTGTCTTGTTTTTCTGGGAGCTCAACAGTTCCCACTATTAAAACAAATAACGGGACTGGCCTGCTGGCTCAGTTAGTTGTCTCCAGGCTGCAGGTTAGCTCTCCTGTGAGGGTGCATACCGGAGGCAGCCAATCCATATTTCCCTCTTCCCTTCCTCTCTCTATAAAATCAATAACCACATAGCCTTGGATGAGAATTAAAAATAATAATGGTGTTCACTTCAAATTCCTGTAAGAACATTAAATTAGTAGGAGAATTTTCTCAACTTTTTTGTTTTTAATAGGTGATTTTTTAAAGATTTTATTTATTTTTAGAGAGAGGGAAAGGGAGGGGGAAGGAAAGGGAGAAAAACATCACCTGGTTTCCTCTCTCTCTCTCTCTCTCTCTCTCTCTCTCTCACACACACACACACACACACGAACACATACAATCAGTTGCTCTCAACTGTCCCCAACCCGGGACCTGGCCTGCAACCCAGGCATGTGCCTTAACCAGGAATCAAAGCTACAACCTTTCACTTTGCAGGACAATGCCCAATCCACTGAACCACACCAGTCAGGGCAGAATTTTCTCAAGTTTTATTGTCTCTTTTCAAATTGTTCCTTCTTCTGGTCTTTCCACACCCCTTGCTCCTTATCACCTACTTAATTTTGAAGCTCAAGACAAAGTCCTGCCTTCCTTAGAACATATTTTAGGCACTGATTTTCCTTATATCTGAATTCTTATAGCAGTGGCTTCTAATCCGTGGGCCAGAGATCACAGTGGGAAAGGGGAAGTGAGGCAGGAGGAACAGTTACGGGTCCACGGAACTCTGTTTAAACAAAACATCGTCTATGGACAATAAATGCCGTACACTTAGAAATCTCTTTCCTTCTGTGTGCAGTTCTCCTGGAATGTGTAACATGGTATCAGATAATCTCTAGTTTAGCATACATCTTGTATTCAGTTACACTATTTTAGACTTCATGTGTCATTGTTCCGTGGTGTTGTACAAGAAACGCCAGAATGTGTGAGCTGCACTGGGCAGCCCACAGGAGAAGGGCAGCCTGCCGGAGAAAACCCAGGTTGCCGAGATCAGAACCTCACAGCCCTGCGGCATCCGGTCCGCCAGCTCCACCCCACCTGCCTGTAGTTACATTCCTACCCCTGAGGGATCACGTTCTCAAAATACATCAGGCTCTGTCTTTTTCACACTATGTATCTCATTTTCATCCTGTTCTCCCAGCTTTAAAATCCCACTCCTGCCCCCCAAAATCATGATTCCTCTGTTATCTTTTCTTAGCATAGTAAGACAGGTACCTAGGACGCGTTAGCCATGTCCCTTTCCCTCTCTGAGTTGCGCTGGCCAACCCCTCTCCTAAACCCTTTTCACCCCTCCTCCTCCTTTTCCCTACTTCCCCTAATGGCAGAAAGTGGGGGCTGGATAACCAAATTAGAAGCGTCCTGGTCTGTCCTGTGAGTAAAGATTTATCTGAATCAGGGGAATCCCTATGAGGAAGCTTCCTGGCCTGGGAATCTAGAAATCAGATCCTAAATTAGACCTTGCCATGAACATGCTGCGTAAACATCGGCAAACCCTTTTCTGAAGCTCAGTGTTTACATCTGGAAATGGAAGGAATGATTCCTGTTCTGTCACCGCATAAGGTCATTAGAAGAATCCAATGAGACAATATGTATGAAAGTGTTTTGAATATTGTGAAGTGCCATTTATAGTCCAAACCCTTTCATCTAATTAGAGAATTATCTCTCCAAATCCCTGCCAAGTCTTGGCATGTATACTCTTTACTCAGAATTAAATCACTATTAATGAATTTATTAAAGTATTTAAAGAATTAACTCCATTAAGCCAATTTAATTCCTTGATAAATTTTCTACATAGCACAGTTAAACTTCTAACTTTTCTAGATTTTCTATATTGAATTTTCATCAAGATGTATGCTTTTCTCTATCAATTTTACAAAAAAGGTTGGATATCTCAGTTACCTTTGCCATTCTTACTAATTATTGCTTCAGCCAGTAGACATTTCTAGTCATGATTTCCACCAACTCCACCTTTTCCTGGGAGCAATTTGACCCATGGTCAGTTTTATTTTGTGTTGATTACTTCTACCAGGTGGAATTTTCCCAGAAGTTAACTTTGCAATGTTCAATGTCATCAACAAAGATGGGATCATTCAGTTTGCTTTTCCATCCATAATAAATTTTTACCATGTGCAGTTTTAGCCATTGTCAGTTTTATTTTGTGTTGATTATTTCAACCACATCCCATTTTTTTCTGCGACCCGATTAAAACAAACTCAGGGGCAAAATGACAGTGTCAAACACTATCCTTTGCGTGTAACTATCTGATTAATGAGAACTGAGATGGTTTTGTCCCAGCTGTGGTAATGAACTGGCATTGAACTCTGTCTCTCAAAGCATCTCTTTAGGAGTCTTGGCACAAGTGTGAGCTGTTATATTACTGCAGGCAAATGAACATTAGAGACCATGTTAGGAGAATCAATCTTTTTTTTTTTTAAGATTTTATTTATTTATTTTTGAAGAGAGGAGAAAGGAGGAAGACAGGGAGAGAAACGATGTGTGAGAGAAGCAGCAACAGGTTGCCTGCCTCATACCCTGAACTGGGGACCTGGTCTGTGAACCAGGAATGTGCCCTGACTGGGAATCAAACCAGTGACCTCTCCGTCTGCAGGCTGGTGCTCAGAGCCACAACAGCCAGGCTGAGAATCGATCTTCAATGAGCCAGGGGCTGTGCTGGTGTCTTAGATCTGTTATCTCATTTAATTCTTCAGCCTAAATGTGCTGTTTCATGTGACTGTTTTATAGTAGAAGAAATTGAGACCCAGAGAGAGGAAGGAGTCGGCCAAATCAGGATCAGAAACCAGACCCTGGTTAGTGCAATTTGAATATTTCTAAGTTCCAAAGCTCTCTAATTTAATTTTTAAACTTTTGATGTATTCTTGCTGCAAAAGTAAATCACAGTTTTTGAGGTTAGCTAAGATATGAAGTAAGAAAAATATATGCTTATCAACAAAGCATTCTTGAAGAGCTTCCTGTAACAGCAAATGGTACAAGGAGTGTAAAATACTTTGTAAATGGCCCAAAACGGGGCAAATGAACGTTTCTGCCGCTTGTGATAAAGACCGTTAAGTAAATCTGCTCTGCTAGCTTGACAAAGTGCTAGAAAACGAATAATACACAACTAACATTTGATAGATGGACATCAAATGCCCAGCCTAATATTTAATTTTAATGGCCAGTATTAAAGGGGTGTGATTGCACCCTGGCTATCTTTTAAAACCTAAGTCAGTCACCAGGAAGCCTTTCCGGACCCCTGCCTCGGTTAGAAGCCCATTTAGTCCATTGTCCCTTTACTGCCCTCAAGGGCGAGAGGCAAGATGATTGGGTTCGCCTCTGTGGCCGGGGTTCTCTTCAGCCCAGAGATTCTCACAGGGTAAAGTTTCAGTAAATGAAGGTCGAATTAATGAATCAATCAATTAATGTAAGTATATAGACTATATGTACTTGTCAATTACAATGACAGGGAAAATACTTCAATAAAGTTGAAAAATTAACCACAAGGGAAAAGTGCACATTAAATAAAGAGCAAAAGTAAATCACAAACAATCTGCACGAGATGATTACAGCCACCTAAGCTTCCACGCAGCCTCAGGAAAGAGCATTGCGATCCTGCCTCAGTCAGGATTGGGTGTCCTTTGTGAAGTCATTTCTTCTCCTGTACCTTTTCTTTTCTTTTTTTAAACTTAATTGATT